GATGGCCTCCAGCCTATGAGAGCGATGCCTTTCAAGGTCTTTCTAATCTTAGCCCACCTTCGAAGACGAAGAAGAGGCCACGGGAAGAAGCGGACCCCCAAGATGGTTTCTCCTGTGACAACCCAGAGGTATCTGAAACATGTTTTAGACTGATCACATGGTTGCAGGTCAAAGCATTACCAAGTGCATATGCTGAAATGAACACCATTTGTGTCCAACTGAACACCTTTACTTTTCTTTTTGGTGCATCTAGGCTTTGACGAACACACCCACATGATTCATGGCGCCTCTGCCGACAAGTCTTGGAGCTTGAATGCATCTCTCACTCTGGAAAGCTCAACCTGATTATGTCTCACTCTGGTTTCACATGGTTTCACACACCTTGAACACGGTCTGAATAAGCATACGACATGCTGCAGAAATCAAGCGAACAGGCCAAGTGACATCGGTGAGACCTGGCTGGTTGGCGCTTTGACGCGCTGCCAGGACCTTTTCAGAACAAATGTCTCTTTCAGATTCAAATTTTGTGGAAAATGAAGGGAGAGCAATAAACTACTCAGCCACCAGCGTGTTTCATCCTGAGTCCGGGCGTTTCGATACTCCGTGTGGGTGAAAAAGTCCTTCAGCTTCAAAAACATCTGGGCATCTGGCAGAGTGTCAGACGATGTGGCAGTTTCCTCAAATCATACACCCCAACTACCACGCGCGGAAGATGAACAAAATTCAGCTGATGCCACAACACATCTACATCATCACAACAAGGGTCACCAACTCCAAGATAGGTTGCCCACGCTGGTTTGCACAAAATAATAAGGCTAACCCGGTTAGCCCCTGCAATGCAAATAGTTCGAGATGATTTCTCACAGCAAAACACTCAGCTCCCTGCGAACTGCAGTGTGAATATTTGCCAGCAGCTCCTAGACAGAGCTTTCCCCATCAGTCCGTCCAGCCCTGGTGGCAGAGAGTGTAGAGTACCGTGTCTGGCCCAGTCTTGCTGTTTTGGATTGAATTAGGATGAAACTTCAACTTCAGTCAGTGCAGCTTGTGAAGTTCAAAATAACCATTGATCATTCTTGCGGATGCAAAATTGACAAGCTCACGCTATGGAAGCGAATGGCAAAGCACATGGTCTTCGATGCGGATGGTGTTTTGCAGATTCGAGAGTTGGAAAAGAAATACGCACGGATTTCTGCGTTCGCAGACAGCTCTCAAAGCGACGCAGCTCGCGCCATGGCCATAGGCTACCCATGTATCTTACCTATCTGCCTTCCCCCGTCCCGCAATCGCCTCAAATCGCTCAGGTCTGAGCGGTTTCCGCTGGGCATGCGAATTAATCTATCTCATCTTGTTGGATATCAACAATCTTGCGCAGTGGCACAACGTCAATAAATACACAAGAAAATACATGCGAAACTTGTAGACCATCTCCCCGGTAACTAGCTATTGAAAGAAACTCAGACTCATCCAGACTCTCACTTGATCCACAGGCGCTGGATTGGGCGCTGTCGATTCTCCTCAAAGCAGCGTCTTTCTCAACATGTTCAATCAACTGCATTCGTCCCCATCCCCGTCCTGATCCTCCTGTCGGATTGCTTCCACAGCTGTTCGAATCTCCGCGTGAATCACCTAACAAAACTTGCTCCATCTTGCTCCAAGACTCCTATCCCAAAAGAGTGCTGCATAAAGGAAAGCCAAGGGGAAAACAAATGAAACATGGCATGGCAGGACGGTTGCGCCTCCATGTCCCGTGCTCCATCCACATCTCTCCAGTTCACTTGTGCTCGAAGTCGAGCATCCTTGAACTGAGTGCGAACAGTAGCCTCCGCGAAAGGAAAGGAGAAAAACTGAGAACACTGTGTATTTGTGTCACAGAGATTGGACTTCGCTTGATTTCACTGACACTGCTAACACTTGTTGCAATGCCTGCATGTCTGCATTCTCGTAACGCTCGTCACCAAAGTTTGATCGCGAGGCGCCAACCTGTTAGCACACGTGGTGGAAACCAGCATGACCTGATATGACCTGATCATTGGTCAATTGACTCTTGCCTTTTCGTCGATGTGCAGAAAGAAAACTCCATCTGGACATGGAAGCCCTCGGTCTGGAGCTTGACACCAGGAAAAGTCCAAACCTGGAAAGAATGGATGATTGTGGATGATTCGTGCAAACAGAATCTAATATCACTGGCCTTTTGCCGCAGAATACGCTACCCCAGAGAAGGCGTAGCGGTCGCAAATGATAGTGGTACCAGCACGAAGGTCCTGGAGCACAAGGCCCCATGGAGAGTGGTAAGAACATGTAAGAACAAGTATGTGCTTCTTTACGGCCTTTGGTTTTGGGGGACCTGACTGCTTGTAAATTAACAAGAATGTGCTTGAAGTTATCGATTTAGGTCTTGCCTCGACAATGGATTTAGCCATCTCCCAGCGATTGGCCTCGCATGCTCAATGAATCATTGAGTTGAGTCACTAAGTCTTGCTCATGAATCTCTTCGATCCGCACACTGAAAAGTCGATGAACCGCTTCATCTGGAAGCTCCAGTTGCCTAAAGCGGACAGGTTGACAAGTTGGAAAACATGAGAACTGTCAAAACAGCGGCAGACAGTGCGTACCTCCGTAAGTAAAGATCAATGGCGCTGCCAATGGGCGTCTTCCGGTTTGGGAAGCACATCCATTTCACTGGGCCAGGTCCCACCTGTCACAAGCAAAGCCTCTCCGGTCATATGTAGGCCGCAGCGCCCCAGGGGCACGTCCCGTCCAGCCTTTGACAAATATTCTTCGAGTTTCTTGCTTTGGGTGGACTTGCCACTGCGATCAAGACCTCGCCACTTCGAAAGTTGCCACAAGGGCTCGCAGTTTACTGGTTGCCAGAACTCTTGGCTCCCAACCCTCAAATACCAAGAAAAGACCTCTCGTGGCAGAACTGCCCCAAACAGGCTTCTCCTGAACTGAGCTCAGCTTAGGCAATTTCAAGCACAGCAGGCGGGTCGGAAGCTTCGTCCCAAATCGTGGGCAAGGTCTGGATGCCGAAGCATGTCTTGGTCTGGATGTCGGTGCGAATGTGACTTTTCTGGTGACTTTCGTCGGGAAGTTCAACGAAACCCATCCTTATCGTTTCCCTGCTCGCCTCGCCGAATGGACACTGGTTTCCCACGAAAGCGAAGAAAAACCGTTCAGTCTCGGGGGTTGGGGTAGTATGGGTTCTGTTGGCCAGGATTTTTTTTCTCAGCGCTCCGAGAACAATGCTTTCTTTGGACGAAGGTTGCTACAAGGCTTCCAGTCTAACAATCCAACTCTATGAAGTTGGTCCCGTGGTCCTCCAAAGGCAGATCCAACAGTTGCATGGCTTCTTGGATGCTAGTTAGTTGCACCTGGCCAAAGCTTGGATATGTCAAACAAATCAGATTCTACTGACAGAGGTTGGAAGCAAAACGAGGCAAATCTTTTGCAAGCTGACAACACCCCTTCTTCTAAACATGCAGCGGACAGGGCTCAACGATTGCTTGGCATTTCGCAACGCACTCGTCACCTCTTCTTGCCCCACATCAAAGTAACAAAGGAGAATGTGAAACAAAACCGTTTTGTTCAAGAAAGGTGTAGAAAATATCAAGCTCTGTTACTACTAGTAAGGCACCTGTTACTACTAGCATGCTCTGTGTTTGTGTAGAAAATATCAAGCTTTTTGCAATGCCGCGTGCAGCAGAAAAAACATCATCTAGGCATGATGGACCTATACACCTGCTTTGGTGAACATGTTGATAGAACAGTGAAGACCGACAGGGAAAAAACAACGACAAAAGGGTCTAAAACAAATAAACCCTCTGAGTCTGCGACACTTTGGATCAAACCAGCGCTCATGGGCTGGCCTCATCTACCGGGAAGCTGGGTCCCCACGCTACGAGGTCGAGAAGAAACATGGACATGTCCTCCTGTGTTTCCTTGTGTTTTTCTAAAATGATTTTTCAATATAGACTCTTAGACCTTGGGATTCTAGACAGTTCTTTTGCTTTTTTCGTGATGTTCCTTTTTCTGTTGCATGTGTCTCTTTCACATTTACATGTTGTTCTTGTTCTGTCATTATTTTGTTTGTTCTGGTCTCTTTTCTTCTGATGGGCTATGAACTTCTTCCTGGCAGTGAAGCGGCCTCAAGTCATTTCTAGGAAGACGTCGTATGCTTTCTCAAGAAAAGATTGACAAAAACATCCCAAGCAAGTTTCCTGCGTGTCTTCAATTTCTGCCAGCTTGCTTGTCTTCTTCTTTATACTCCTTGCACGGTGTTATCCTGGTTGTTTCTTCTTTCCCGCCTTTGTTTTTCTTCTTTTTCTAATATTTTCTTCTTTAGATCTTTAGACTTTAGACCTGCACTTCATTCATTCCTTTATCGTTTGTCTATGTTGTCCTTTATTTGTTTCTGTCTTGTGCTTCTTTATTCCCCTCTTTTTCTTGTCTCTTCTTTGGACAACCTTTCTTTTGTATCTACTTTTAGTTGCTTTATTCTTTGCACGCATCATGTTCTTGCTTTCCTCTCTTTTCCTTTAGACCTTCAGACCTGTCTTTTTTTTTGCTTTTGTTGAAGAACATACAATGAAGAATTGGCATACCTGCTAATACCTGCTAATTGGGATTCAAAGCCCTCATGATTGAACTGTTGGAAGACGATAGATTGCCTACACCCGTGCATTGGCCCTTGAGTTTCTGAATGATGAACGAAAAACGGCTACATGGTTCTACACAGTTTACCAGAAACTGCCTGAAACTGCAGGTTGGCACTGTGAAACAGCCTGACTAATTCATGAATTCAGCTCCAGGAACCCCAGGAAACTGCGCTTTGAGAGTTTATTCCGGCGAAAGAAGCGACTTAGTTCTGGGCGACTGCTCTGGAACTCTGAAAGGACTTGCTCCTGAAGAAACTTGGACGCAAAGCGACCCCAGGTACCTAGAAGCAATGGCCTCCAACTAACTAGCGATGGCCTCCAACCTACTCGCGATGGCCTCCAACCTAATGAGCGCAAAGACTGCAAACAAGACCACACACTCCAATCGACAAGGTCTCCTCGCTTGGCAGGGGTGGAAGTGGAATCTCTGGGATTCTCGACCTGCAGGTGGAACACGATCGACGCAAATCTACGTTGTAGAGAAGACGCAGTAGTAACAAGTGCCACGCTACTAGAAACAAGTGTCTTACTAGTAGTAACACTGTTTGCTATTAGAATTAAATTAAGACTAAATTAAACTAACTAGTAGCTTCTTGTTACTACTAGTAAGGCACTTGTTACTAGAAGCGATGCACTTGTTCCTAGTAGCTATTGTTGGAGTAAATTGCATCCAGCTCAATTGATTAGTAGTAGTAAGGCACTTGTTCCTAGTAGCTTCTTGTTACTACTAGTAAGGCACTTGTTACTACTAGCGTGGCACTTGTTACTACTAGCGCACTTGTTACTAGGCAAGAGTGAATTGCATCCAGCTCAATTGATTATTTCATGATTTGATTGCTGTGTGATACATCACTAAAGTTTGCATTGTAACGAGCAACTTTGGACTCTGAGGGCTATGGGGATGGCGGCTTCAATCTGTAATCTCAGAGAAACATGTTCCCCTGAATCATTGTGGCCAATCTTCTCCGGTAAGGACTTCTTTCCTGTGGAACACATTGCTGTTTCAATTGAAATCTGGTTTATCCTGGTTGAAAAACATCTGCCCGGTTCTTGTTGACGGTTGGGAGAGAGCTGCGGGTGGATCCAACATGTTGTTTTTTGCTCATGCCTTCTGACACCATGGCACATGTACACCAAAAGGAACCTGTTTTCTCCAACAACTCAGCCATATTATTGAGAAGAGTCTACTTAAGGCAGGAGCACGACTCCGTTTGAAAGCAGCGCCTCTGAGGGAGCTCTTGGTCCAGGATGCTGGCCTACAGGTCAACATTATAACTTTCAAGGTCTTTGAAACATCTCTCCAAAGCAAGTTTAAAAAGAAAGCAAAGAAAAGCATATTAAAGAAGAAAGGTATCAAAATCAAAACATTGAAGAACAAATGAACAAACAGCAAATTAGACAACCTCAATGTTGGACTCTTTACGACGCAATTTCACCCGCCTTGCTGCCCTCAATAAAGTCGTTGACCTCTGTACACTGCTTTTGGAGCGCAGTGGCCTTGGTACACCGCGGATTCTGTCCTTTCTTTGTTCCTTCCTTAATCCAACATTTAAACATCCGAACATAGTAGCGAACCTTGTTACTACTAGTAAGGCACTTGTTACTAGTAGC